GAACCCAACCCCTAGAATGCAGGAAAGTGCTAAGGAGCTTCACAGGTGCAAAGTTGGTTTCTGTCCCTGAGAGGGGACTGGGTAAAGACAGGAAGCTCTTCCTGGAAGTGTACAGATCTTTATATATTCTGACACTGACCAGAAGCCACCATGTGCCCTCACTTGACAACAACTGTGAATACAAGATAAGACAGTCCCTGCCTTGAAGGAACCTGTGGTCCAAGGAGGATGGAGGGAAGACAAGGCAACAGAACTATGTCCTGTGATGATCCCAATAGCCTCAACTGTTAGATTTCAGAGGAGGGGAAAGTCATTCTGAGACAGATGATAAGAAAAGTTTCCCTGAAAATTAAATAGATTGAATTTTTTTTAAGTGATAAGAAGGAAAGAAGAGGTAGAGGAAATGGAAGGATCAAAAGCACAGAAACAGAAAAATGCATGTCAGGTGCGGGGCTGATATGTAGACTGGCGTGAGAGAGCCTAGGAACTAACATCTGTTGGGCCCCCACGTTTGGACTACTGGGTGAAAACTACTTGTCTGGGTGCTCCAAGGTAATACAGTTTCTTAGTCACTGCAAAACACAAAGCAGGCTTATTTAGAAATCAAAATGCCCATCTGGTCAGAACTTCAACCTCGCTTTAAAGTTAGGGCTTCTTGGGGCGCCTGGATGGCTCAATCAGTTAAAGGTCTGCCTTCAGCTAAGGTCGTGATCCCAGGGGCCTGGGATGGAGCACTGCATCGGGCTCCCTGTTCAGCAGGGATTCTGCTTCTCCTTCTCCCTCCGTCCCTCACCCCTGCTCTGCTCTCTTTCTCTCTCTCTCTCTCAAATAAATAAATAAGATCTTTAAAGAATTATTTAAAAAAATAAAAATAAAGCTAGGGCTTCTTTCCTCCCCTGCCCTGCCATGCTTGGCCCTACTGCAGAGGAGAAGCCTGAGATCGGGGAAAGGATCATTGATCTTTCTTCTTTTTCACTCAGCTCTCCTCCTTTTCAGTCTTCTGGCTTCATTGTGACCCTTCAAAGTCTTAAGTGCAGGGAAAAGAAAAGAGGTTAAGGGGGAAAAGAAAATCTTACTCGACCAGACCTGTTGTGGTGATCTGGCACTGGTATTCTCTGGATGTGACAAGGCTTACTAGTTTTCACAGGGGGGCACTTTGATGGTTTCTTGGGAGATTTACCTTTCTCCTCACCCCTTCCACTATGGCTAGGAATCTTTCACCTTGACTAGGGTATATGTATCATTCCAGGTAATCACTTACTCTTTCCTCTGTCCTTGGGCATCTTAAGATGCCTACAGCTTCTTTCTTCTGAGTTCTATTTACCCCTTCAAGAAGCCTTCTTGGACAAGATCTAAAATGACCCACATGGGCTCCCGTATACATGGCTCACTCTAGTCTATGTGTAATGCTCATGCATGTTGTATACCGCCAGACTATGGGAGTACAGGCCATTCAGTGCTTCCACCTTGCCTTTGTTCTGCCATCAGAGCAGCCAACCAGCCCCTTGTTCATACTTTGGATTTTCCAGGTAGGACTTAGACAGTATTCTATTCAGCTCCCCAAATTGCAGGGGATTAATATCAAGTGCTCAAGGGGGGATCATTAAAACTGCTCTCTCTCTCTTGACTTGGGATGAAGAGGGAACCTTCTTTGCAGGAGAGTAAAGTGAGGTGGAACTCATGATATACAAAAAGCACATTCCAAAAACTCTCTCCTAGTAGTCAACCACCAACTTTTTAAAAAAAAATCCAAAGTACGGATGAGAGATTAAGAATTGTATAACCTGTTTTCATCCACCCCCTCATGAAAGTCCTGTATCACTGTGCTCTCAGACATCCTTTTGAACTATAGTATCTATTGCCTCAGTGCTTCAGCCGAAATGCCTTTTTACCATTTTGTTACACTATTTGTTATCTCTCATTAAATTGTCACTATAATCCTATAAGGTAGATGAACCTATTCTCATATTAGAGAATACAGAACTGAGCTTCAAAAGGACCAAAGTGACAAGAACGGTTTTTGAATCCAGATCTCTCTAACACAAACTCTTAGACCATTCTAGGGTGGAGGATACATGTGGCTCAGCCTAAGTACTCAATAAATATTCACTGAATGCCTGAAAAGCTTATTTTCTTAGATTATAGAGGAACACGAATGCTTTGATATTAATTGATAGGGAGTGAGAAACCACTGAAGAGTCACAGATGGCAGTGGTAAACAGGAAGATGTGATCGAGATACACAAAAGAATTTAGAAGGGAGAAAGTACAGAGGGAGAGGCACTTTAAGAGGCCATGGAGAGAGTTAAAAGAGTAAGTTATAAAGGACATTGTGACTGCTACTTTGTTAGAGTAATGAGAAGAGAAGCCAGGTTAAAAGAATTTAAAGAAAGAATGGGCAACAAGGAAATAAAAGCAGTTACATGCCAGTTATCCAGGATGTTAACATCTGAATGGAGGTACAGAAATAGGTTGCGAGTCAGAGGAGCGATCAGGAGCAAATAAAGGATATTTTTCTGGGACCAGTGAAAGCTGATCTTATTTGTAGACAGGACACCCGGAAGGCAGAAAGAGTCTGAAGGTGCTGGAAGCAGTTTCTGAGAGAGCAAGGACTAGGGGGTGGTAACACATGAGGAATTAACATAGAAGAAAATGAAGGATACATCTTCCTCTAAGACAGGAAAAGAAGAAGGAAGGTGGATAAATAAACACCTATGTAAAGAAGAAGGAGGAGGAGGAGGGGGAGAGGAGGAGGAAGAAGAAGAAAGGAAGGGAGGGAGGAAAGCAGAGAGGCTGAAGGAGATTTCACCTAATATAGTAAACCTTTATCAGTAAAGTAAGAATCAAACTAATGATCAAGAGAGTTAGGTACCAATAGGTAACAGCATTAGTGTTTGAGGAAGAGTTTGAAACACCCATTGTGCTGTGGGTGTTCAGAAATCAACTATGGAAATCAACAGTGGATGAATAAGTACCACCAACCATCCAGGGCATTGAGGTTCGACATTCTGATTTCACAGAAGTCCAAATCAGCAATATTCTGTGGCCAAGGAGCAAAAGGAGAGAAAGGTTGTGGCAAGCAATGTCCCAAGCTAGGCACTGCAGGGCATGGGCTAAGGGCTGAGAGAGGTGAGTTGGCAATGGTAGGATTAAAGTTTCTAGTCATGGCATCCAGACTGCACAAGGAAGCAAGTGAGGTCAGGAAAAACAATTAACAGATTTGTTAAGTTATCCTGGGAGTGCTCGTTGGTGACAAGTACTTTTGCTACACTGGATTTGGGAAAGGGGTAAGGTATAAGGGAAGAGGTATGGTTATAGACCAGGCTTACCTGACTCAGGCTCTCAGAAGTAGAACAGCACTTGGGCACCCCAGTGCCAGGTGTGACCTTATTAGTGAAGAGGTCATGTGCAACAAAGTGGAAAGTTCATGGTACGTGACCTCTTTGGTCAAATTGTGAGGAAACCTTGAGCTCGGGGACTGGGAGAAAAAGGAATGGTCATTTACAGAAAAGCATGTCTTCAAACAATGAGAAAGAAAGAAAAGGGGGCACCATAGCAGATGAAAACTCTCGTTTTCCAGAGGATATATTTTACCTTCTATTCTACAATAGCCATTTTTTTAATTACAGGATCTGAACGGGAATATTTGGGGCAAATTATATGCTCTGGTTGTCCTAAGTTTTAAATGTTGTTTATAGATTGTTTCTATCAAACACAAAGATCAGAGACCTCGTTATAGTATATACTGACTCTGGGCATGACTGCCCTTAAACTCTTTTAGAAATATTAGCTACAGTCCCTTTCATATGTCTAGGGAACAATGCCATAGGAACCTTTAATCAAGACACAATGAAAACATGATTGTAGCTTCCTTTTGTCAAAATGGATGACAAGTATACTTGTCTAAAAGACAAGTATGTGGAAGTATCTCAATACGAGATTGTTGTCTCAACTTTGCCTACAAGTGCCCACAGGTATCAAGTCACAGAGTCTCCAGTTAGCTAACACAAGGTATAGTATCATTCAGATAAGATTATTAGAGTCTGGGGAGGGGAGAATAAAAATCTATGATACCTAAGGCATTAAAGAAATTGAGTCATAAAATCACTTGTCCAAGATCACAAAGTGAATTGGGGCCACAGACAAGAATCTTTGGATCCCCTTTAAGAGGTTCATTTACTATCCCATGGATCTTAATATCACCTCAGACACAGAATCTGGTGAGACTTAGGATCAACCTGAAAAAAATTCCAAAATTGTCCATTGTTGCCCCTGCCCAGCTCCTTGAACCTTCATGAAAGCCATTTTGGGAGACTGAGCAAGATCAGGCAGCCACCAGCTTTCCTTCCTGGGCACCCTTGGCTGAGTCTCCAACAATATCTCTGAGAATTCCAGGAAGGGGACCTGAGGCTTCCTTTTATTTTATTTTTTTTCTTTAAATTTTTTTATTATGTTAATCACCATACATTACATCATTAGTTTTTGATGTAGTGTTCCATGATTCATTGTTTGTGCATAACACCCAGTGCTCCACGCAGAACGTGCCCTCCCCAATACCCATCCCCAGGCTAACCCATCCCCCCACCCCCCTCCCCTCTAGAACCCTCAGTTTGTTTTTCAGAGTCCATCGTCTCTCATGGTTTGTCTCCCCCTCCGACTTCCCCCCCTTCGTTCTTCCCCTCCTGCTATCTTCTTCTTCTTCTTTTTTTTTTCTTAACATATATTGCATTATTTGTTTCAGAGGTACAGGTCTGTGATTCAACAGTCTTGCACAATTCACAGCGCTCACCATAGCACATACCCTCCCCAATGTCTATCACCCAGCCACCCCATCCCTCCCACTCCAGCAACCCTCAGTTTGTTTCCTGAGATTAAGAATTCCTCATATCAGTGAGGTCATATGATACATGTCTTTCTCTGATTGACTTACTTCACTCAGCATAACACTGAGGCTTCCTTTTAACATTAACACCTGTCCTCTGGCTCTTCTCTCCCTTGCAGCTCCGAATGTCCTGGCTCATCCGTGGAGTCTTGCGGGGAAATGTCTCCTTGGTGCTGGTGGAGAACAAAACTGGGAAGGAACAAAGCAGAATGGTCTGGCATGTTGCCACCAATGAAGGCTTGAGCCTGTGGCAGTGGACGGTGCTGCCTCTTCTCGATGTGGCTGACAGGTGGGCCTCCATCCATTCCTGTCACTCTCTTTTCCTCGATCAGCCAAGATGCAGAAAGGGGTCATGTCTTCCCCCCCAACACTTCTACCCAAGATACAGATCCAGATGAGCACATACATGTGCATACACACAAATATGTACATATACACACACACACACCCACATACACATACACACACACTTTCTGCAGACTTCTAGGGAGCACTGAGTTTCTCTGTGGGATTTCCATGCTAATGAGCCCTCATCTCTTGCATCTCTGGCCTGGCCTGATTGGCTGCCTCCAGTATCTGTAGCAGGAAGAAATAAAACTGAACAACTCATATTACTGCCAAATAATAATCAGGCTTTATACGTATATCACATTTTCTCTTAATTAATGCATTTTGCCTTACTTTCCCATTTGACATTTTATTTATCCCTTATTAACAACAAAATTTGTGACATGGGTAATACAGACCTTGTCATGTTCCCCATGCCTGCCCTTTCACAAGATTCTCATCAAGAACCAAAGAGTTACAGCACCAGCAAGTTGGCCTCAGAGTGAGGACTGGTGCTCAGGTCAGTCCAAGTCCAGGGCTTTGTGGATTCAGGTCCCTGAAGCAGGTAGATGAGGGAGATGACAAATTCTTCAGTAAACAGAGGAGGGCTTCTACCAGAGGCCCTGCCCTGGGTCGTATTTGAATTCTATCCCCAGTGGCTTTGTGACCTTGAACCTCTCTGGGTCTCAGTTTCCTCATCTTTAAACTGAGAGGGTTGGACTAGAAGATCATTGACTCCATGTGGCTCTGAAATGGAGCTATAACCACTGAGAACAGCTACCACTTGTCTCCCCAGGATGGCACCAGTCTGCCACCTGCCGTCGGCCGGGAGCAAGCTGGGCCTGGCTCAGCACATCAGCTCACGTGACTCCCTGATGCATTGTACTGAGTCCTCCATGGTTGGTGCGCTGATCTGTTCCAGACCAAAAAAGGCAGAAGGCAGAGGATGGGGGTTATTTCTTTCAAGGGGGCAGATAAATGGGTCTAGAAGGGGAGCCTTTCATAGGCTAAATGTCAAACCCAGCAATCCAGAGCAGCCTCTGCATTTAGACTTGTTAAAACCCATTCAAATTACCATCCTGGTGGATCCACTTTTGAAAAATGAGGACAAAGAGCTTAAGGTAAGGCAAGGGTGTTGCCAGTTGCCTTGCAGCTTTGTAAGTATAAAGTTGGGTCTCAAATTCATCACCCAAACTTCACAGAGTCTGCTATTTCCAAGAGCTCATAACTTGAGCTGTGCTGTCATGGGAAGAAGCGATTGTCCTCACTCTGAGCACCAGCTTCCCACTCCCTCAGATGTGTGTGGGTTAAAGATCAAAGCCCTTGGATATCCTGAGGCACAGTGCTGCCCCTAGGACAAATGGATTTAATTAAAGTGGAAGAAGGGGCAGTGTGGGCACTCCCTACCATAGACTGGTCTTTTGTCCTTCAGGATTGTGGGGGTTGCATGCAGGGGATGGAGAACAGGAGGATGATGCCAGAGCCCTCCCTCCTGGGAGATGCTAAATTAATTCAGATGAATCAAAGGGTTTTTTTTTTTTTTCCTCCTCAATCTAGCAAGTCCTCTCTCTTTCATAACCACTCCAGGGGATTTAGAGCAAGTAAGATGTTGACTCTGTTCATTCCCATCCACTAGAGTTTCGTTTGAAGGAGACTTTGTTCTCAGCCACCATCCTCCCTGTTAAAGGCTGTTTACCAAACTGACATTTCCAATATTGATACTGAGACCAAACTGTCCAGTGGGAATTCAGACAAAGGCCAGCGTGGTTTGATGATGCTTTGTGACCTAATAAATGTGCAATTACAGAACACACGAGCGCCCCCATTCACCAGGAGCCTGCACACCACTGACATGTTCTGATGTGGGAAGCTACTCCTCCCACCCAGAGCTAGAGAAGATATAGAAGGCATCAAGACCCAGAGGAAAATGGGACTGCAGGAGAGTGAGGCACGGCAGTTTTCAGTTGCTAAAGTCACTTACCAGTAGATGTGACTAGCCCATAAAACAAAAAAAGCACTGTGGATGAAAGAGCATAGGCTTTAGTATCAGATAGTCCCAAGTTTAAAACTATCTCAGCCACTCAGTAGTGGTGTGACCCCAGCCAGTCACTGAACCCCTCTGGGCCTTGGTGTCCACATTTGTAAAGTAAGTATAGTACCAGTACAACTTCACCGTATTGTTATGAGACTAAATAAAACAACTGTTAAAAGCATCTATGTATAGTAAGTATCAGTGAATTTTATTTCCCACATCCTCCATCCTCATCGCTCAGTTAGGTAGTCTCAGATAACTCACTGAAAAAAGAGCACAAGTCACAACAACTGATCTTCCAAGTTAAGCCATGTTCTGTAAAACAGACATAATAAAATTTACCTCTGAGGCTTAGGGAAGTAAAGTGCTTGGTAGACTGCCTGGCCCACAGTAGGTGCTCAGTCAGTGATAACACTAACAATAACTATAATATGATAGTAATAATATCTCCCCACCTAATGCCTCAGAAGAGGCTGGATGGCCAATTTAGCAATAATAACCAGTCATGCAACCCTAAGATAGAGGTGAGTGTTCTTCTGAATTTGCTATCATCAATGCTATGTAGACTCCTTATAAGGGGAAGTCACTGATGGAGGAGGAGCAAGAAACACATTCTTCCTTTTCCTCCCTGGGAGAGTGAGCTATAGCTGCCAGATTGCCAGAAAAATGAAAATGGGAGGAGGAAGAGGTAGAGGAAGGAAATATATAAGGGAAAGAGAAGGAAAATGGTTGAAAGATAAAGACCAACTCTCTTTCTCCCCACCCTGAGGTAGGCATTAGCACCTTGTACCACCTGCTTCCTTAGGCAGGTCGGGGCTTCAGCTATTCAGCACCCAAGTCCTGGACAGCTCCTCAATCAAGGACCTTGAAGGAGCAGCTACTTTATTCCCAATGCTGTCCCAAATCTCCTCCGTTCCTAGGTTCCCCAACATTACATTACATTGCATACATTACAAAGTTTTTTGAAGCAACTTTATTAGGGTTTACACGTTAGCTCTAAACTGCTCCCAGGTTCAAGACACTTATTTCAATTCAGTTGTACCTTGCTAGATTCTTACTTACAGACTTTGGCACCTTCCATTCTCCCCACCTGATATGTTCTTCCTTTACGTTCCTTCTCCCTAACTACCACTCTTCCTTCACTTTTTAAAGACTTCTAGACTAAATAGTATACCTACAATATTTTCTCATAGCTCTTGAAATATCCCTATAATAACTTGTCACTCTTTTCTATCTGGGTTTTTTTTTTTTAAGCTGAATATACACACTAATAAGACAGGGATCAAATCTATCTTATATATCACTGTTCCTTGAGCATCTAGAACATGCCTAACACATCATATGCCCAATAAACATGTGTTTACAGAACGATGTGTTGAGAGAAATTGCATACATTTCCAAATCCCAGCTGAATTAACTGAGAATTTCACTTGTTGGAATCCATCTAACATTCTTCCTGTGTTCAATCTAACAAAACAGATAAAATCACATTACAATAAATACTGCTACAAAGTGTTCTATGTATCAGAGCAACACCTATATCCCATCAGATGAACCCAAGCAGCATTTGTTACTCTTAAGACAGGGAATTTTCTTTAGGGACTTGCCTGGTACCTGTGCTTTCTTTATCTCTGGTCACTGTTCTGTCGGAATCACTTTATAAGAAAGACCTTGATCTTAATTGTGTGCCTTAATCCTTGTGAGTAGAGAGAGCTAGAGCTAAGCACTTGAGAGCAAAGAGCTATATTCACATTGCTGCCACCACATAGTCTTCCTGTGAAGGCTCAGAGAATATGCCATTGGTATATAAAGGATGATGATAGGGAGACATTGATCCATGGAATGGTATTTCTTCTGTCCATTTACAAAGAGGCAAAGGAATAGAAATAATGTCACACTCTGTCATCATTATAAAGTGATATTAACCAACTAGAATATCAAACCATACTATAAAGAGTAACAAGAAAAATCTCCACGAGTAGTGCCCATGATGTTTTGAGCAGTAGCAGCATCCTTCGAATACAGATACGTGCTTTCAAGGTAATTTTGAAGGACAGCACCAAGTCAAATACTGGCTTGATGTGTGCTTAAGAGTTATCTCATTACTTTAAATCCACCTCATATAACTAGTTTTCTTCCTTCCCTCCCCATTCAACTGCCATTCTTTCTGTTGGAATTAATTCTACGTTTTCTCAAAATGGAAGTAAGGCATGTTCTCTCCCCTTAATCTGTCAGTCTTTTATAGGGACATAGTTTTCCTCTTTATAATCATATATCCCAGTAAATTAAACACAATGTTCTGACACCATCTTAAGCTTTGACATGCTTACAGAGCAGAAGCAGGTGCTAAGTTTGACTCATTACAAGATGGATTTGGAAACACCATGGATCAAACCTTGTCCCACAAATCACTGCAATCATACAGTCAGATAGAAAGTACATAACTTAATGTGCATGTGGAGGCTCTCTTCCCCAACATTATCATTATAAAGGCTTTTAGCTGTACCCTATATACATAGTCTAACAAGAAAAAATGTTCCCTCTGAAGATATTTAGATTTCTGTTCTTTTTGTATCCTTTGTCCTAAATGACAAGTAGTGTGTTTGACAAATGCATCTTTCAAATGGGATCTGTTAAACTGAGAGTTATGTCTTCATGTACTGAGGCCAACCTCCACAGAGCCAAGATTTTTCTCATATCCCATTCTTGTTTCTCATCCACAGAACCTCCACTTTAGACGGGGTGCTATCAGTAACAATACTCTCTCTTTGTGTAGCATCTTTCTGTGATGAAAAAGGCATTTTCATTACTTATTCGTACCTGAGTAGAGAAGTAGTAACTTCCAGGGAGAAGAAATCCAGAAATTTACAGTGAACCTCAGTTTGCAGGTCTCGACACACTCCTAAGAAGCTGTGTTTAATTCAGACTTT